GGTGGTGGTGGTGGTGGTGGTGGTCGTGTGTTCATACCCCTCTAGAGGTCCAAGTGCAGAAAGGGACAAGAGCCAGGGTCCCGGGGACCCGTGGGAACGCGGCGGGGCCTGGAGATGTTGCCCCGAGAAAGGAGGAGCTGGGCAGCGTGGCAGACACCCCTGGCCCACACAGGCAGTGCCGTGCTGGGCTCACTGCCGCCTGTGACGTCGGAGCCGCCTCTTCCCCCTGAAGGGGTGTGGGTGGGACCTGGGGGCCTCGTTCCTACAGCAGCTCCCTTGGGCTGTTGTGAAGGTTAAAGGGATGGACGCGGGAAGCCTTCCCTGCCCTGTCTGGCGGCCCGTGGCCTTGCAGGAGGGGGCAGCCGAGGGACCCTCTGGGCCCCTGTGGGTCCTGAGCTGTCCTCTGCGAGCTTGGTGTCGGTCGTTCTGTCCCCCAGAATGTGAACTGGAAGCAACGCCAGGAGTCGGGGTTCTGTCCCCGCTTTTCCACCTGGGTGTGTGTGTGTTCTGTGTTAAATTACACCCATGTTCTCATGCTGGGCTTTTGCCAAGTTCCTATCATCACAGCCCAGAGGTAAAAGAAAATGTGTTTGATTACGGAGCTCGTATTTCAAGGCAAGGACTCCGACTCGGCCAGCACGTTTACAGGCTGAGAACCCGGCACCAGGTTCGATGGGCCACACGGCTTCGTCACCAAGTGCGGCAGGGCCAGGATGCGGCGCCCTGAAGACCTGTCCGGCCACACGGAGACCAGAGTGGGGAGGATTCGGGTTTGTGTGTCCTGTTTTCTCAGATTTATCAGGCAATCAGTAGGACTTATCAAGGAAAGGTGAAAGTCCCAGCTAGGTACGTTTCTCCTGTCCCGTGCATATCTAACCACCGGTGGAAAAAGAGCAGGTTCCGGGTATGCGCCCCGGGAGGCCACACAGCACCCCCGTTCTGCAGTGGAGAAAGTGGGGCCTGAGAAGTTTCTCACCAGGCCGCCTGCCAGGCGCCTCAGGTCTTCCTGCCGTGGACCCTGGCCCCACCCCTCTTTCCCCACTGGCTGTTCTACCTTTGCCGGAAGTGTGGGGACCTCCCAGGCATAGTGGCGGTGTCCCTTTCTCTCACCCCCTAAGGCAGCACTTGGCTTACAGCAGGGGACAGCTG